TGTCACTACTAAAAGCAATAAAAATGATTGAGGTTAGCAAAATGAATTTAATTAAATTTATAGTTTTGTCACCTGTGACTTGACTTCTACAACATGATGTGATTTGTTCTGATCGTCACATTGGTTTTTGATTTCAAGACTGGTCCAAAGTCTCAAATTTATTGCACTGGAAATTGGTGCACTGAGTCATAAGCTACTGTATGGCTATTAATTTATTTTGGTGAACTGAGTCAGTTAAACTTGAGGATTTCATTGAAATCATTCAGAAAACATTTTCAGTTTCTCATTAAAAAATTTTGTGTTTTTTTTTAAATAGAAACTGATTGTGAATATTAAGATCTACTCTATACCCTGAATTGGAAAGATTTATAAGCAATTTATACCCGTAACTATGCTTTTCTCTAATGTTCAGAAATTTTCTCACCAACTTAATAGATTCACTATGTACATTCAACATGGACATCACATTCTGATAAACATCATACAATACCAATCATCAATAACAGTGGTCAGCACTTAACATTTTTTTAATGATCTTGATTCACTTTTCTTTTAATGATCTTGATTCACTTTTCTTTTCTTTTCTTTTTTGTAATTTCACCTATTATAAATGCCTGAATGTGTGCACCTTTCAGGTATTGCATGCATATCAATCACAAGTTATTTATTCTTCTTGTATGGCTTATATACACAGCAAGTTTATTTTAATAATTCTATGTTTTGAGTAACATTACTTTTATTATCTGAAATTCTGAGATTAAGTACTTTTGTTATTCTCTGAATCTGACAAAGTTTGTGTACAACAAATCTTTTACTAATTGGATTTGTGAATTGGTACAAGTGGAATTGTAACAGTAAAAAAGTAAAAAAAAACAACAAAAAACCAAAAGCATTGTGAATGAAATAAGACTTTGTTCGCTACTCCCCACCCAAAAAAAGACTGGAATCTATACTGTTGCCAGTATAATAGTCAAAACATGAGGATACTAGGGTAGTTAATTCATTGAATAAAAAGATTATTATTAATATATTCATCAAACTTTTTAAGATATGAATGGTAAATTATTTACATTATTCGGACTATTGTCCTCATCTTTGTCACCATATTTATCACAACGTTTTGGCTGTTGTATGCTCCAGCCTTCTTCAGGTGGTTGGAATGTCGAACTTAACCCTTTATTTCGCTCACTGGGGTAGACTGTTCTAGTTCCACGTGCCATGTTTAATGGATGTCAGTTATCAGTTATCTCCTGTTAATTCCCCTCTCCAAGTTCTCTACCGCCTTAACCAGATATATAGACAGATACTGATGAATGGTAAATGTAATTCTGAAAATAACAACAATTGTGGTTGACATTATTAATCAAATATTTGTAAGCTTTCAGAGGTTTTTGTTGAGAATTTACCGAAAACAAATGACTAATTCTAATTTTGAAAACTTACTTCATAACTTGATTTTAATTACCATATTTACTGGCCTATGGACGCACCCAGATTTTGGCATGGAATATTTAGCAAAAAAATGCACACATTACAGCCAAAAACTCAAAATTATAATCTTACCATTTGTGATATTCTCATTAACCATGAAGAAACACATGGTATTGTCACAAATTATACTACTGGTACTTTTTTAAAATAGAAGTGAGGTAAAGTTCAATTACTAGGACATTTTTTTGGAAAAGAAGAACTTTAACACATTTCATTATTCATTTATTGAAAATTGTTTTAGTTGTTTTTCAGAGAACAACATCTGCATATACAGTAAATTCATAATAGCTACAAAGAAATCTACTGGTATCAGTGAACACTGGTACATATGGTAATAGGCAAAAAAACCCAGAAATATAGTACTTGTTGGTAAATGAAGTCCCATACCATATGTGCAGAAAAGCAAATTCCAATACCTGTATATCAACAAAAACACACATGAAGCAAGCAGCAATATACCAGTCAAAGCAAATATTTCTGTAAAATCTGGTATTTCTACAAAACAAGCAGCAGAATGTTGTGCAATTCTATAAATTTCTTAATTTCTATTTCCTGGGTGAATTTTTCAGGGATATTTTTATTAATATTGTGTTTGTTCACTTCCAGGAGTCCTAGTTTCAGAGCTAAGCTCTATATGAGTACTTATTCCTGGTGAACACCACTTTTTTCATGGTCTTCATGTCCCTTTCATACTTGATATGGCTGTATTGGAAGCAGGGTCATTTTTTTTGCAGATTTTTGGGGGAAAAATCTGCATCCAATAGACCAGCAAATATGGTAGCTTTATTCACTTATATTCACCCTTATGTTTGCTTTTATATATTATTTATATAGATCTAACTTCATGTATCATATTTACTAGTGTCTAATGTATTCCTTAATTTAAAAAAAAAATTCAAGACAAAACTGAATAAGAATTGTCAATATACATTGAAAATACAGGGTGTCCATAAAGTCTCTTTACAATTTAAAAAATTTATTAAAAAAAAGCAAAAGAACAGACAATTATGTGGAAATTGTTACAAAATGAGGAGTAGATATTGAAGTTTTTTTTGTTTTGTTTTTAACTAATTTAATACACCTCTATATGGGCATCATTAGTTGCACAAAGCATATCAAGATGGTATTTGATTTCTTGCCATGTTTGCTGTAACATAGACTCATCAATAGTGGCAATGGCATCAGTGATTTTTTGCTTCATATTTTTTAAATTGTAAAGAAACTTTATGGACACCCTGTATACTTTTGACATATGTGCCAGGTGCCTGTTTCTTCTTTTAAATTTCAAAACTGCAGAAAATATGGCATTTTTTTATCTAATAGAATACAGATAGAATGTAATCTATTTGCATTTTGTGTCATCTTGTAACAAGAATAAAAGGAAAATATAAATTTGAGGATTAAAATATTTTAAGAATATATTGCATATTTTTTTATGAAACAATATCATTCAGGTTTGAAATCTTACACAAAATATTTTTTCTTAGTAGAAAATATATTTAATCTCCCTTGACCTATATTTTTGTGCTTTCCAAAGGTAGAGATAAAGGTAGATTATAACTTATAAGACTTGAAATTACTTTTTCATCAGTGTGTGTGTGTGTGTGTGTGTGAGTGTGTGTGTATATATATATATATATATATATATATATATATATATATATATATATATATATATATATAATGTGTGTGTGTTTCTTCTATTTAGATACCGTTTGATTTATACTCAAGTTCTGAAGGTCTATGTAATTAAGAATAAAATTATGAATTAATATAAAATAGGTTTTCAGATGAGTTTTTCTTTCTATGGCTTCTCTATTTTAATAAATATTTCATTAATGTACTTTTTTAAGGAATTATGTTTCTATCATGAGTTGCCATATGATTCATTTTTTTTTAAAGATTATTTTAGCCAAAAATCAAACTTAATTTTCTGGCATTTAAGATTACAACAAAAAGGATTGTCAGTATTGACAATATTCCTAATGTTGATAATTCAAGGTGTTGAATTAGTTTCAAAATATCATAACAAAGAGCTTGCTTCAATTTAAATGCATGTATCCTCACTAATACACAATAACATTCATTTTGTATAACAAGAGTTGTCTACATTCATTTGATTTTTATCTTGGAAATTTGCATGATGACTAATCAACAATTCTTAATCATACTTTTTCTTGCTATAAAGTTTAACAGATTTCCTTCATGTCTGCTGTTATTGATGCATTTTAAATTTTATAAAAAGAAAATGTTTCATTAACATTTTGTTCTTCAGTTGAGATAAGTGTGCTGTTTGTGATTCTTATAAAAATTTTCTTATTTTTTTTTTTATATTTAAGGCATGTTAAAAGTTTTGCTTATTATTGTCTTTGATCACAAAAAATGTTGCTACTTTTGAGAATTTATTAAGCATTATTTATTTTGAATTTTACGCCATATTTTAAGAAGTCATTTAGTATTGGATAATGATAAATATTAGTGAAATTACATTTAATATAAAATCTTAGAACAAAAAGCACCAGTTATTTCTTGTGATCAAATGACTTATTTTGATTTAACATTTCATGTTTTTCAAAATGTTTCAATTACACATTTAACAAGTTGATATTTGCCCATTTAATTAGATTATCATTATTTCATAAAGTTTTCTTGAATTTAAAAAAAAAGCATTTTAATGTGTTTGTAGATTTCTCTTAACAAGCTGACAACTTTATTTTTTGGCTTTTTTAATTAGTAACTTTTTAAATTTGAGAATCTTTCTATTCTCTCTGATATTTTAAAAATGTGTATATTTTTAAAAGTATAACAGTTTTATTTAAGTATGTAAAAATAATTTAACCTTTATATTTAAACATATTACTTCATAACCTGTTCATTATATATTCCTAGTATATTTTTAAAACACTCATTCAAAAGTGTTTAAATTCTACTAGTGACTAATTGAGTCAACATTTGTTTTGACATATTGGAATTGAAAATAAGTGCCTAATTATATTTATTTGATCATAATTTATCAGAATTAAAGTATTATGAATTAAAAAAGATTGGAGGTTAATGTTATTGAACACTAAAATTTACCAATCCAGCTTTTAATCTAAAGCTGTCTGCTTTAAAGGTGGGATTATTTATCCTGGCTCTCAGATGTGTGATTTTGAATCTCACTTGCGATAATTTTATTACCTAACTTCTAATTCACTTATATCTATTTATTCAAAAAAATAAAAATGATTTATTTTATTACATAAAAATTTATAAAGATAATTATATAAAATCACTCTTAAGTTAAATACATTAAAAAAAAATGGTCTTTGAAATAATTTTTAATTCAGAAAAGAACAGAAAGTTTCCCAAATGTAAGATTTGCTGTTTTGTTATTGTGGTTAATGAATCAATTTTTTTTTCTTCTACTTCTTGATGATTCTGATGCATTTTGCTGCCAGGCACCCAATGCCAACCATAGCATGCCTGTCTGTTTGCTTGAAGGTTTGCCTATTTCATGTGATTTTCAGAAACTAATAAAACCCAGGAACAGATTGATGATGAGAAACGAATTCTTGCTGAACTGCTCGAGGTTGTAGAGGAACGTGATGCATTGGTGTCAATGCTGGAGGAGGACCGGCTCAGGTATTCTCACTTCCTATGATGATACTGCTGCTGCTGCTGCTGCTACTCCGGCCTCTTTACCTCTTCTACCCTCTTGAATTTTGCTCGGTTTATGAGTTTGTCATATGTACATTACTCCCATACTCCCACTAAGTCCCTCAGCCTGACATACTCAGTCTGTTATGTGCATGGTGGTTGGCTTTTCTCAAAAATCTATTTTCATTTAATATATTTCCTACACTTATAAGAGGTGATTTGCGATTTGATCTGTTTTGGGAACCTTCTTCCTTCATTACTTATACTCTTCAAATGATTTACTATGGAAGCTGCCTTTTTAATGAAATTATTTGAAATACAAAGGATTATTTTGCATTTATTCTATTAATGGCTTTTTTTTTTAGTTATAAGACATTAAGAAAAATCCTTTCATGATAATATTGCATCAAGTTGGAATTTGTAAAGTATAAATTTCAAATTGTTTTTTCTTTTAGTGAAAAATGTGAAAGATTTTGGATCAAAATATCCAAAAGAAATATTCATTATTAAAAAGTTGTTTTAAGTCATTTTTATGATCTTTTGTTATTTGTAAGATATTGAAATGTATCATATGGAGTACTAATTTAACATTTTCGTTTGATTTTTTTTTTTCAATTTCAGACCATCTTGAATTTTTAAATATTATAAATTAAAATAGAAAAGGAAATGCCTACTAATTTTTAAACAAAAAGCTATAAGATTATTTTTGTCTAAGTTCATAGTCTGAAATAAAATTTTACTTTCCTATTTGACAAATTTACAAAACGGTTGTTTTGTGGTTCAGATATTTTAATTTGGAAAACAAATGTTTAGAAAAATTTAGAAAATAATATCAGGAAATAAAGTACAAAAACTTGGAATATGAGTGGAAGAGGAGATAATATTTGTATAAATGTTTATATTTATTCTGAATTCTTGGAAATTTTTCTTGAGCAACTTTTCACAGCTTATAGAAAGTGATCCAAGTATAAAGTTGTTTGTCTTGAAAAATATATTTTCTTCATTTCCACTTTTGAAAATCTTTGATACTTTTAAACTTTTTTCTTTGCTGTTATTAACAATTTTGGGCAAAGATTACTTCTATAAATATGTCTTAACAAATGACATTTCTTTCACTAATTATGTTTATTTTTCTTTTAATTTTTTTCAATAAAAGGAATACATTGTACTTCAGTCTCTAGTTGATTTGCATTTGGGCATCAGACAGAAACGCATTATGATTTGCCATTTAAATCACTTTAAGTATATTAGAGGAAAGTGAAAAAAAAAAAGCAATTTTTTAATTAAATGAAACTATAAAAGTTATATATCGAACATTGAAACCAAAATACACATTTAAAATTTGAAAAAAATATTTTCCGAGTTTATATAAAATTTTGTGGCATGCCTAAAAAACTCATTCTTTCCAGATAAAATTTTAAGAATGTAACTGATAATTTATTTTTAGTTATACTATTTATCTAAATTATAACATTAGGGAGTGAATAAATTATAAATTATAAATTAATACTTAATTTTGTATAATTACTAGACTCAATTTTGTAATTATTTTTACATTTTTATTATTTCAAAGCCTTTTGCTTATATGTATTGAAGATTTGCTATTATAAATGCTTGCTTTTACTCTTTATACTATCCATTAATCAACCTCATATTATTTCCAAAAAATCTTTATCTATCAATACATACAAAAGTGGAAAACAAAAAAGTTCCACTTACCAAATGTCAACAATTACAGAAAATCTTTCATAAAAAATCAATGCAAAATCTTCAATTGCAAGTGAAAATAAAATGGCTATCATTTTTAAGAAGGAAATAAAAATTTAAATAGGAAATTTATTTATTTTGTTCTAAGATTAAATAGCTGACAAATTCAACTGAAAATGTTATGATTAACTCATAAAGATTAGAGATTTTTCATTTTGAATGAAAAAAAAATGAACACTCATGAAATAATTTTTGTATATTTTAGAATATGATGCTTTTTTTTCAGTTGGTAAAATTTGTCACTTAAAAAATAGTTTATCAAAATGACATTGTATTATTTTTTTAGATTTTAATTTGACAAATCTCTGTAGCTCACTAACATTAATCTCATAAAATTTGTTTAAATAAAAATAAAACTTTATTCACTTTTTTTAAAGTCAAGCTGGTTTATTCCTGAACCTATTTTTGTTTCATTTGCCTTTTGTTTTGTTTTTTTAACTACATAACATTCTTTTTACAACTTAAACATTTTTGTAAAATACTTATGTATACCGCTTGTGTATATTTGACACTGTGAATTTTTAATATTTTCTAAGAGGATAATTAATGAAACATTAGTAAGAAGATTGTCTTGTTTATTTGATATTTAACAAATCCTCCTTATGATTTTGTTTGCATGTCATCTGGAACTTTAACAACTCATTAAACCACCATTAAAAAGCATTACTGTAAAATATACTCAAGTTTATTTTATGTATTTATATATATTTATGTATTTATATATCAAATACATTTTAAATCTTTTAATGTAAATACCAATTATTTGACATTTTCTGAAAAAAATATTATTGTGCCATTGATAAAAGATATCCTTGGTACAATTTATTAAATACAAGTTTGGCATTTTTAAATGTTAACTCCAAAACTTATGCACACTTCCTATGAGTTTGACAAGAATATTTTTTTTAATTTCCACTTTGGAAAAATTACACTTAAAACATTTGTTTTAAAATAATAAAAGCAGATCTGTTACATGTAAAGATCAAAGCAGCTCTACAATAGAATTTGATTGTTTTGCCAGTTAATAATTTGATTTCTTAGTACTCCTTATAATTCTAGTAGATTGTTGGAAGAGGAAATATTTGTATTGATGGTAGAAGTGTTTAACAATAGACGCAAACAGATGTGAAGCACTAGTTATACATTCTTGTAATTTTTTGCTTATGTATTTAATGTACATAAAACATTAAGTTGTCATCAAATAATCATTGTGTAGCAATATGTACAACATTTTTTAAATTCTATTTTTGTTGTGTTGTGGAGTAAATAGTACACCCCCGGTAACTATATGAACAATTCCATTATTATAAAGAGCTCCAGGTCAGAGGTAAGGCAGGTAGTCATTTGGTGTCAATCTTCAAACTAACAAGTAGCCAAAGCATGCATATAGAGAATCTTTATACAAAGTATGTTAATATAAGTAAGAGGATGTTATGACAATAGCCATAGAATAGTGGTGATGAGGGATTTGAAACTCAGGATTTATAACTGTTGTAATGAGGATTTGGAACTCTTACAACTTATAACCATTGTAACAAGGTTACACATACAAATTGTAATTGGAGTTGTAAGAATTTCAGCAATGTTGGTTAAAAACAAAAAAAATTATATTCTTGTAAATATGGAGAAAATTTTGGCTTCCATAGTTGAAATTCAGCAAAAGAAACAGTTGTTAGAACTACAAAAACAACACCAGGAGTTGTTGGATATAATTCTGAAGAAAACAATAAATTCTTCAAGGTCTCATATGACAGATGCTGTCCAAAACACCATATCAGAATTTATATACAATTCAGATGAGTGACTGACTTTTTCTGCATATTTTCATAGATATGATCAAATATTCAGTCAGGAATGCAGCAGCTGGGAAGATGAGGCAAAAATGAGATCGTTGTTAATGAAAATAGCTCCGACAGAGTATGAAAAATGCTGCAATTACATTTTAAGAAAACCAGATGAAATCAGGTTTGAAGACATGGTATACATTCTGATGAAAATCTTTAGTGACAAGTGCTCTCTGTTCAATGCTCATTGGAGGTGCTTGAATCTAACCAAAAAAGAGGATGTATGCTGGTATCATCAATAAAGAATGTGAAAGGTTTAGAATAAACAAAATGACACCAGATATGTTCAATGGTTTAATTTTCATGCAAAGTTTAACAGTTAAAAAAGATGCTGAAATATGAGTGAAAATTTTAACAAAAATTGAACAAAATAATATTACACTGCAAGAAATATCCACTATTTCTTGCAATGCTTAATCTGAAACATGATGCTGAAGAAATTCAGAAGAAAATAATGTGCATTACTACAAGCAAAGGACAAATGTACAAAAAGGAGAATAAATCCTTGTTTCATCTTGGAAAAACTATCCATTTAAAAATGCAGAATACTACAAGTTTGGTAAATGAGGACATTTAAAGTCATGCTGCAAAAACCAAACCAAGAAAAAATTCTACAAGGAAAAAAAATTAGTACACAGTATTATGATGAAAAAAATGGTCACAGAAAACAAAAGAAAATTTGTAAATATATAATGTGGATGTGAAAATGCTACTGGACACTGGTAGTGATATTTCAATAATCAGTGAAACCATATAGAAAGAAATTAGAAAGCTTTTATTAAAAAGTCACAATTTCAGTTTCTGGTGAGAAATAATTTTTTTCTTTTGAGAAATAATTTGCAATGTCTCTTCGTAATAAGCATGTAAAAACTAAAATGCTACAAATTTATTTGGAACGGATTGGATGAGACTATTTGAACTTTGGGATTTGTCAATAAATGATTATTGTAAAAATGTAAGTAGACAAGCAACCAATTTATAAAGTCAGTGAAAATCTTAAGGAAAAATTTAAAAAAATGTTTTTCAGATGTTCTGTCAAATGAACTAGGTCATTGTTCAAAATTCAAGGCAGATTTTCAAGTAAAAAAATAATCCAATGCCGAAATGGAGTGTACCATTAGAACAAGTTAATGAAGAGTTGGATAGACTCTAAAGAATTGGTGTAACAAAAAAAATTAACCATTCGGAATGGGCTGCACCAGTGATGTATGTAAAGAAAAGAAATAATAAAATATGTGTTTGCGCGGATTTCTCAACTTGATTAAACAGTTTAGAAACATATAACTACCAATTATCAAATCCAGAGGAAATTTTTTCGAAGTTGAATGGTGGAAGAATATTTTCAAAGCTGGATTTCTCTGAAGTATATTTACA